GTGAGGCAGGCGGTGGCACCACTGAGCTAAATCGCTGGACCTATATAAATGACTTTTAAAGTCTCTTTCTTTCTAAATGATTTTTTTTCTGTTTCATATTTTTAAAAAGTTTACAATGTCTATAACTCTACCTGATAAATTTGCTTGATTTGTAATTCATAGTTATAACATATCACTGTAATAGATGTATAATAGTATAAGTAAGTAATTTATAGTATTCCATATGTTTTTTATGGGTATTAAAAGTTTTTTGGAGGGGGTTTCTGGGGATGGAACTCAGAACCTTGCGCCTGTGAGGCAGGCACTGTGCCACTGAGCTAAATCCCTGGCCCTAAAAGGTTTTGTTTTTATTTTTGGTACCAGGGGGTGAACTAAGGTCCTTATACTTTTGAGGCAGGCGGTAGCACCACTGAGCTAAATCCCCAGCTACTAAAAGATATTTTTGATGATATTGTCATGATATCCAAATTTCATTTATCATTTCTTCTTTTCATTTTTGTCTTCTCACTTTTTAGCTGAGTACTGTATATACCGCTGATGGTAAGTTTTTTACTTAAGCTCTTTTTATTCCTGTAGATTTATTTAATTATACATTTCTTCATAGGAAAGGTCAAGAACTTGCTGAAAAGAAGAATAAACCCATTAAGAGACTTACATATATTGTAATACTTCATTGCTCAATTTCTTTACCCCTTTCCTCTTTATAGAGTCTAGGTAACCCTAATTAAGGGATTCTACCTTCCTTCTGTTTTGTCAGTTAGGTTTAGAAGTGCTTTGGTGTATATACTTTTTCCATTAATCATCACAACACAAAATAGACAGGGTGGTAAAATAGTATACATTCCTCTAATCAGGGTCTCCTTAGTGCAAATAATAATAACTTTGGATTTATAGGTGCTCTGTTCAGTCCAGGCAGAAAAAATGTTCACTTCATTGTCTTTAAGTGTCTCTTCCTTTAGCAAAAGAGGGAATGATACTCAAAATTCCTAGGCAAATGCCAGATAAATATGTAATAAACATTACTGTAAATCCCATAGTTGAGGTTATGAAAATGTAAGAAAAATTCTTAGAGGCAAAATATGAAGAGGGAATTGAAAGCCAAAAAAAGGAACTGAAAATCAAATCCATAAGCTGAAGTTCTAGGTTACTAAGAGATTTCAATTTCAACAGACACATAGGAGTAGGAGACTTTACTCCTTACCCTGTATAAGTCTAAATTCCTTAAAACATTACTACATCATTGAAAAAATGATCTAGGAATACGTCTGTGTGGTGGCATAGAGAGATGCCCACTTTTTAGAGGCTTTGAATGGGAACATTTTCTCTTTAGAATTTTTTTTTTCCTGTTGAGAATTTATTACATAGGTTTGTCTTCATACAGTTTTGATTTAGAATGGTTTTTTTACCTTCTTTGGGTACAGGAAACCCAAAGCTCAGCACTTAACATATAAAATACTTGTGAATCAATGACAATCCTGTGTCATTAAGATAAAGCAAATACTAAACTTATTTATAGGAATATCTTCAATCTAAGTCACATGGCTAAAGGTGCTCTTTGTTATTTTGTTTTTAATACACCTTTTAAAAATATAGTTATTGGGCTAGGGATTTAGGTCTGTGGTTCCCCTGCCTGTCTCATAAGCACAATCCCTGTACTCCCCATATATATAGATAGATATTGTTATTGAAGTTTAAAACTCAGTGGACAACATAAATGGTAGAATGGATAAATTATGGTACATTCATACAGTACTATGGAATACTATTAAGCAATGGAAATGAACAAATTGCTGCTGTGCCCAAAATTATGGTTGAGTAAAGATGATGCTGAAGAGAGCTGGGCTTGGTGGCGCATGCCTGTAATACCAGCACTTGGGAGGCTGAGGCAGGAGGCGCTGTGAATTCGAGACCCGCCTGGGCAACATAGTGAGTTCCAGGTCAGTCTCAGCTACATAGTGAGACTCTGTCTCAGAAAACCAAAAAAAAAAAAAAAAAAAAAAAAAAAAAAGATAATGCTGAAGAAAGGAAGCCAGATACAACATCATAATACTATGTGATTTTATTTATTTAAAGCTAAAAACTCTAACATATAATGTTAAGAGTCACAATAGTAATCTCTGAGGAGGAGGGACAAGATATTGGTCAGGAGGGAGGGTTGAAAGGTTAATGGGATGCTGGTATTGGAAATGAGCCCCAGACTCAGTTTGTCGGTGCAGATAATAAAGTACTCAGACGTCAAGAAATCTTGACAAGGCTTTTACTTTTGCAAAAGAGCATAAGCCTGTCTCAGCAGTGAGGTAGCAGGCACCCAGGACAAAGGAGGGATTGCCCTTTTTATCCCCAGTGCAGGAAGAGCAGCTGACCTCTTTCCCATTGGCTGATTTGGAGGTTCACAATCTATCCCAATTGGCTAATTCAGTGGGGTTGGTGAGGGGAAGGGAGAGCAGAATGGAAAGAAATGTGGAGAACAGAAAATCCCTGACCCATGATAAGATATCTTTGGTATAGCTTTATTTTCAGGATTAGAACTGAGAGGGCATTTTTGTGACTTAGTGTGTTCAAGAAGAGCTAAGATGGGCTAGAGTCCAAGATGGAGATACTCATGTTCGATAGAAAAGACAGAATTTACTTTTCCCACAATTATAGTATTTCATTTTTGATCCAGGTGATAGTCATATAACTGTTTACTTCATGATTATTCATTGAATTTGTGATTTGTATACTTGCTCAATCTAATAAAAAGTAGGAAATAAATGTGATAAATATTATGGTAAAGATCCAAGAAATAGAAAGCAGAATAAAAGATGATAAAAATAAAATCCATATCTATCAGAAATTACATGAATGTCAATGAAGAACACATACTAGTGAAGAGACAGATTGTTGAGGTGCATGCCCGCAGTTCCAGTATTTTGGAAGGCTTGAGTGAGGCAAGAGGATCAAAAGTTTGAGCCTAGCTTGGGCAACTTAGTGACTAAGCAAGACTTGGTCTCAAAAATAAAAAAAATACGCAGAAGAGGCGGAGATGTAGCTCAGTGGGAAGGCCATAGGTTCAATCCACAGTATCCCACCCCCTCAAGGAAAAAGTCTTATTATAGCATGTTTCCAAGTAGGCTGACATTGTTTCCTTTCCTCTATATGTGCACCATCCTACCTCCATTCCTTCAACCTTGTCTAGAGGTGGAGTTTATTCCTCCATTCATGTTGAATCTTGCTTTTAGTGACTTAATCAATAAAATGTAATAGAGGGCCAGGGATTTAGCTCTGTGGTTCCACTGCCTGCCTCGCAAGCACAAGGACCCAAGTTTGATCCCTGGTACCAAAAAAAAAAAAAAGTGATAGAAATTACATTTAGCGATTTTCAAAACTGTCATGAGAAGTTTTGCAGCTTCCATGTAAGCTGCTTTGAACGTTGTCTTTTGGGATGTTCTCTCATGGAACACTCAGTTGGGAACCCAGCAATACTGTATGGGAACCTACCATGCTATATGATGCTCCAAACAGATGGAGGCTCAGCTGAATTTAAGCCAGCACATGAGGTGCCAGCCACATGAGTGAGTGAAGGAGTCATCTTGGACATTCTGGTTGCAGATATCATATGAAGAAAACCCCAGTCCCCAGTTATATGGCAGTCTATCCATCTTCACCTAATGTAGCCTCCCCTACCTGAGGCCCCAGATGTCATGGAGCAGTCACAAGCTGCCTTTACCATGTCCTCTCAATTCCTAACCCTTAGAATTTTGAACATAATAGATTGTGGTTTTATGCCACTAAACTTTAATGTTTTGTTTGAAATAATAGATAACCGAGACAGAACTTGATACCTGGAAATGAGTTTGCCATAATCTAAAATCTTAACTGGCTTTGGGGTTTGGTGGTAGGTTGAAGATAGTGGGCTTTTGGGAGGGCTGTTAGTTAAGGTTTGAGACACAGAGAATTATTATTGAAGGCTGGGAAAAGAGGAAACCTTAATCATGTAGTGGTGCATGATTTATTTATTTTTTATGTTTTATGTATTTTTTGTTTTTTTGAGACAGGGTCTCACTATGTAGCTGAGACTGACCTGGAACTCACTATGTAGCCCAGGCTGTTCTTGAACTCACAGCTATCCTCCTGCCTCAGCCTCCTGAGTGCTGGGGTTACAGGTGTGCACCACCTCACCTGGCAGTACATGATTTATCGTTGCTATCATTTATGGTAACATGGAAGATAGAAAATGTGATGAATTAGATTTAAGGAAATTTCTAGGGAGAATGTAGAAAGTGCTACCTTACTTCTATGCCTATGATAAGGTACAAACAGAGATAAATGAGCCAAAAAGTGAACTATGGAGAGGAAATATTTCTAACCCAGGATCGATTGATTTCTCTCACCTCTAAATGTTTCAGATGGTCAATGACTTGTAAAGAAATGGTTTTAAAGAAAAGATAAAATTAAAGATTCTGTAAGTAAAACATGACCTCAAGATCACAATGGTGCAACTGTAAATTCCTTTGCTAAGATTTCAGAAAGATCTAAAGCAGTGTCTTGTAGAAGTTTTCAGTTAGATGAAAGAATGTCTAAATATCTCTTACATACCTCAACAAATTCTGTTAAGTAGGAGAGCTTCTAGAGATGTTAAGGGCATTTTCCTTGAGAGACAAAGTGGGTATAATTTTTGTATATTGGATTTTTTTCCCCAGTAAGTTTTGTTGGAACTGTACAGGGCTTTTAAAACTTTGTATATTAATAATCATGTCTTATGTAAAAGGAAAGATAAGACACAGAGTTGAGCCAAGAGGTGTGGAGAATCACTCTCCAGGAGTGGCTGTAACGGAGCAAGTGGCAACTTATCTGATCAAGTTTGAGAATCGAATGGGCTGGTAACTGCTGTTCCTGTTCTTTCCCTCTTTTCCTCACATTTTGAGTGGGAGTGTCTTCTGTGGTTATTCTGAGTCAGTCTTAGTGTTGTGTGTTTGTGTTGGGTGTGTGGGAGCAGATAATTTGTCTCTTTAATTCAGATCAAGCGGAACTATACTCCAGTAGCTGTACCTGAGGAACTGCATCTGAGGAGCCTCAACCACACCTGGACCTGATTTAGATATCAAGATTCTGGACATCAAGCTGATGCCATAATGAGATGAGAATTTTGAAGGTCTTAGGAGAGGGTGAGTGTATTTTGCATGTGGGAGAGACTTGTTGGGGCTAGTGGGAGGTCTGTGGTAGTTTGTCTCCAAAGTAGCCACCATCACTTTCTTCTCTTCTTCACGTTCAGGGTAGAATCTGTTTCTTTCCCCTTCTTGAATTTGCACTGGCTTTAGTCACTTTTTTAACTAATTAGGAATATGATTTTCTAGGACTTCTGAGGCTAGGTCATAAGAAACCTTGCAATTTCTGCCTATGACTCTTTCAGAATTCTATCTTGGAATGCTCATTGTCAGAATTTAGCTGCCAAGTAGTGCAAAGCCCATTCCATAAGGAAAGGATACCTATGTGAACTTGTTGATAGCACAGTGAGCTTCTAACAAACATCTGGCACCAACTGACTGTTAGCGTTTGAGTGAGTGAGGAGCCCTGTGGGATAGTCCAGCCCTAACAGACAACTCCTAGAGAAATGCAAAGGTCCTAGACATTGTGGTTCCTCTTGGACATCCCAGCTACCTTCTGTTCAAATCACCCACCTACATAGTGCCTTGTGGACCACAAGCAAGCTGTCTCTGCTCTGCTCTGATACAATTTCTAGCCCACAGAATCATGAGGATAATAAAATTATTGTTGTCTAGCACCAAGTTTTGGAGTAGTTTTTCGTATATAATAGTGTAATAATTATTTTAAGTATATAATATAAATAATGAATGTTGTCAGGTTGAATAGAAAATAAACTATTTAGGGCTGGCCATGGTGGCATATGCCTATAATCCCAGCACTCAGGAGGCTTAGGCAGGAGGATCACCATGAGTTCGAAGCCAGTCTGAGCTACATGGTGAGACCCCGTCTTAAAAAAAAAAAAAAGAGAAGAAGAAGGGCCGGAGATTTAGCTCAGTGGTTCTGTTGCCTGCTTCACAAGCACAAGGTCCTGAGTTCTATCCCTGGTACCAAAAAAAAAACCAAACCAAAACAAAAAACTATTTAGTTTATTTTTTATTTTTTAAAAATTTTTTAAAATTTGATTTATTGGTACATTCTAGGTAGACAGTACAGTTACATTCATTACTGGGATCTTGTACCTTTACATGCCAGGTCTTGGTTCTCATTTTTTCCCCTTGTCCCCACTCTCCCTTCACCCTCCCCTCCCCTCCCCCTTCAAGCACTTTAATTCAATTTTTATATTCTCATATTTTTTCCTTTTCCCTTATTCCCCCTCCCCTGTCCTTCTCACTGTCCCTATACCTTTGGTCCTTGTCTTCCTATTTGCTAAGAATACTATTTAGTTTGTAAGAGGCATTTCTAAAGCAAAGAACCAGAGAGACAAGATTGAAAGTAGAGATATAGCAGGTTAATAGTAGGGAAAATTAATTTTAAGGCAAAAATTAGAAATTAAATCAGAAAAATTGTAAAAGCAGTAATTAAGCAAGAAACTGTAATTCCAATAAATATGTCTCTAGTATAATGGCCTCAAAATATATAAATAAAATACAGTTAGAATTCAAAATGTATGGATTGCTTGACACAATGGCACATGTCTATATGTTCAGCTACTTAGGCACCTGAGACAGAGCCTAGGAGTTTGAGGCAGACTGGGTAGCATAGTGAGGCATTGCCTCAAAAAACAAAAAACAAAAACAGAACCCAAGAAAACCACCCCTAAAACCAAAAAGTCAGACATGGTGGTGCATACTGTATTCCCAGCTCTAGGAAGCTGAGGCAGGAAGGTCACAAGTTTGATGCCAGCCTGGGCTATGTAGTGAGTTCAAGGCAAGCTTGGAGTAGATAGTGGGACCCTATCTCAAAAAACCAGTAACAAAACATAAGATATATATGTATATAAAATGGAAGAAAATATATTGTATGTTTTAGGAATAGATTGATAAATATACAAATGGGAAAATTTGACATAGCTTTCTCAGTTATTGATGGTAAAATAGATAAAATGTTTGAGAGGATGCAGATTTGAACCATCAGCCAGGTGTATACATGGCAGTAATCCTAGTCCTCTGGGAGGCTGAGGCAAAAGGATCACAAGTATGGACAATTTAATAGTTTAGTGAGACCCTATCTTAAAAACATAATAATAAAATTAAAAGGACATGGAGAGATAGCTCAATGCCCTGGATTTAATCTCATGTACTGCCAGAAACAGCTAAATTCATAGTCTCAACAAAACAAGAGGGTAGGTATTATGTAGACTATATGTTCTTATTCAATTCAATATTTAAAGTTAGATAACTAAAATATGTTTTATATATTTTAAAAGCATACAGCTAAGTAAATGCTAGGTCAAAGCACAAATAGTGGCAGTTAGAAGTAAAGGTGAATGATAATATAAATATTGTATATGAAAACAATGGATTACATCTAAAGCAGTGAGGGAAATTTACAGCTTTACTTACATTAGAAAAAAAGGAAGTTTATTAATTTTTATTCTGAAGTATTCAACTAAAGTTTATAAAGGAAAGGAAAGAAGGTAAGAGTAATGAAAATAAAGAGTAGAATCTAGTAAAAGTAAACACAAAGATGTAGTAGGATCAACAAAACCAAAAATTGGATTTCTGAAAAATGTGAAGGCACAATGCTAGGATTGATATATCTATCTGTGAAATAGATTGTGAAATAACATAGTATTAACAGACATTTGCCGCTGAATGGGAAAACTTAGATAAAAAGAACAACTTTGTAAAAAATTGACTAAAAAAAGAAAAAAACCCTGAACATCTGTAATCGTTAAATTTATTGTATTAATAAGTATTTTCTAAAGGTATAATGTAATTGGCCCTTTAAAAAATGCATCTTCCTGGCTGTGCTGGTGCATACCTATAATCCAGCAGTTGGCAGACTCAGAAAGGAGGATTGCTGGGAGCTGGAGGCCATCCTGAATTACATAGTGAGACTCAGTCTCAAAAAAAACCCCAACTGGACCTATTTAAAATGTATAATTTAGAAACCTGGTTTGGTGGCACTCTGGAGGCTGAGGCAGAAGGATTGCTGCCAGGTCAAGACCAGCCTGGCTATATACTGAGTTCAAGGCCAGCCTGAGTTACATTTGAGATCCTGTCTCAAACAAACAAAAAACATAAAATGTACAACTTAGAAAAATTTAACATATGTATACAATTGTGAATGTATTGTTACAATTAAGATAAGAATATATTTATTACCTATAATCTCTTCTGATCCTTTCTAATGACCAGCCTCATCCCCAGGTGATCACTGGCTGGGTATCCCCTTGTGCTTTATGCTATAATACAGAAGTTGGCATTTTCTAGACTTTTATATAAATGGAAGCATGCAGTATGTATTCTTTTGGGAGGAAGGAGCAAAAGTGTTCTGCTTCTTTCACTTAGTATAGTTATTTTGAGATTTATCCATGTTGGATAATTTTTAAAAATCATTGATTTTTCATTGCTTAATAATAGTTCATTGTATGTAGAGCATACTTTGTTTATTCTTTCACCTGTTGACAGATATTTGGGTTATGTCCAGTTTGTGGCTATTACAAATAATGCTACTGTGAACATTTGTGTAGAAGCGTTTGTTAAATATCTGGGCATGTAATAATGTACATTTAACTTTAAAAAAAAATGCCACAGTTTTCCAAAGTGGTTTTGCTATTTTACATTGCCAGAAAAGTTTGAGTCCTCATTTGTAGTCCCATCAACATTTAGTTTGGTCTGTCTGTATTTTTAACAATTCTTAGAAGGGTAGAATTCTATTTCAGTGGCTTTAGTTTCCTCTTCTTCTTTTTTGGTACCGGGGATTGAACTCTGGTCCTTGTGCTTGCAAGGCAGGCCACCGAACCGCTGAGCTAAATCCCTGGCCCTGAGTTTTCCATTTTGATGAAATTCATTTTATCAGTTTGCTTTCTTGGTATCATATCTAAGAAACCTTTGCCCAATCTAAGATTAAAAGTTTTTTTCCAATTTTTTTTGTGAAAGTTTTATAATTTTTGATTTTATGTTTATATCAGTGACCCATTTTGAGTTAATTTCAGTGTATGGTGCAAATTTTGTATTGAAGTTCTTTTTTTCCTGATGTAGATATACAGTTGTTGCAGGATAATTTGTTGAGAAGACTGAAATTTCTCCACTGAGCTGCTTTTGCTTCTTTGTTGAAAATCAGTTTTCTATAGATATGCAGACTATTTCTGGACTTTTTGTTCACTTCCATCATTCTGTTTTGTCTTATTTGATACTACTGCCACATTTTTAGTACTAGTAGTAGTAGTAGTAGTAGTGTTAGTAGTAATAGTAGTATTTTTGTTTTTTTGAGACAGAATCTCTTTTTAAAATTAATTTTATTGGTACATTCTAGGTACACAAAATAATGATGTTCATCATTGGAAATTTGTGGGGTGTCAGAATCTTGCTGTGTAGTGCAGGCTGGCCTTGAACTCACTATGTACCCTAGGCTACCCTTGAACTAGTGGCGGTTATTCTGCCTCAGCCTCCTGAGTGGAGAGATTACAGATGTGTGCCACCATGCCCGTCTTACATTATTTTGATAACTGTAGTTTTCATGTCTTTTTTCTTTCTTTTTTTTTTTTTTTTTTTTTTTTTTTTTTTTGGTACTGGGGATTGAACTCGGGTCCTTACGCTTGCGAGGCAAGACACTGAACTGCTGAGCTAAATCCCCGGCTGTAGTTTTCATGTCTTAAAACTAGTAGTATTAGTCTTTTTGCTTTGTTTTTCTTTTTCAGAGTTGTTTTGGCTATTCTGGGTTCCTTTGTATCACCATGTGATTTTAGAATCAGTTTATCATGCCAGGTGTGGTGGTGCATGCTGTAATCCCAGCACTTGGCAGATAGAGGCAGGAGGATCCACTGTGAGTTCAAGGCCAGCCTTGGCTACATAGTGAGTTAAAGGTCAGCCTGGAAGGAGACCCTGTCTCAAAAAATGAATAAATAGAATCAGTTTCTACAAAAACACTTCTGGAATTTTTATTGAAATTGTATTGAATCTGTATTTGGGGTGAATTGATAGCTTAATATTGACTGTTGGACACAAATGGTGTA